CTCTGTGGCTTTGGAGGCTGTCCTGGAACTAGCTCTTATAGACCAGGTTGATCTCAAACTCACAGAGATCCATCTGCCTCTGCCTCCTGAGTGCTGGGACTAAAGGTGTGCGCCACCACTGCCCGGCACCCAAGTTGTTTCTTTATACTTACTTTCTTCCCTGTGCACAGACTTTGTGTTTCTTTTTATGTTGCCTTTCCAACTGTATAAAATATACAGGGATGGAGAGATGACTTAGTACTTAACAGCATCTACTGCCCTTAGAGTTTGGTTTCTAGCATCCATGTCTGGGGACTCACAACTGTCTGTAATGCCAGTTCCTGGAGATCCAACACCTTCTTTTGCCCTTGTGGGCACCTGCACTCACGTGCACAAACCCACATATGCATACACACATATGTGCACACAAGGCTTAATTAAAAATAATAACAATAACTGGGCAGTGGTGGCACATGCCTCTAATCCCAGCACTCAGGAGGCAGAGGCAGGAGCGTCTCTGAGTTTGAGGCCAGCCAGGGCTACACAGAGAAACCCTGCCTCAAAAAAGAAAAAAATAATAAAAATCTTTAAAAATGTATAAAATATTAAACCAGGAGTTGTGGTACACATCTGCAATCCAAATACCTCATAGGCTAAGCAGGAGAACTGTGAATCTTAAGTGAGCCCAGACTACATAGAAAACTCAAGAGCCAGCTGGGCAGTGGTGGTTCACGCCTTTAATCCCAGCACTCAGGAGGCAGAGGCAGGTGGATCTCTGTGAGTTCAAGACCAGCCTGGTCTACAAGAGCTAGTTCCAGGACAGCCTCCAAAGCCACAGAGGAACCCTGCCTTGAAAAACAAAACAAACAAAAACAAAACAAAAAACAAACAGGGGGTTATATGGCATTGCTCAGTGGTGGATCCTGGATGACACTTTCTGGTCTAGCAGGGGCTGTAGGATATATGAGGACATATGTGGGAATATGGGGAGAACACACTTATACTTGTATAATTTATTAGCTGAATGAACCTCTAAGGGTTATTAACTTCTCTGGGAAGTCCCAAGGAAGTACCAAGTGTGTGTGTAGCAGTAATGCCCTGCAAGCATCACAGCCCGCAGGTAAATGGGTGAGGTTAGAAGGAAGACTTAGTTCAGCTCGATTTAGTCAGCTGGGCTGGATAAAACTTCTGGGGTCTGACACCAGATGGTTGACTGTAAGCATATTTAAATGCAGTACAATTTGGAAAAGTTTCCTGGTGTAATACAATCTCTGGTGCACAAAGAGGCATCATTACATCAAACTCAACTCAAAGTACATGTTATTTCTTTCAAGATCAGTTCTAGAAATAAGCTACATGTTTAATTTAAGGGTTTAGGAAAGGTCTGGCTGGTCAGTTTATAAAATACATATGACATCTCCCCTAAGGATGTGTTCTAAGTTGATGAGAAATAAAGCTAAAGCTAAAGATCTCTAAGGGAGAATCTGGGGAAAACATTCTGGGGGATTTGGGAGGTCTTGCTCTACAGGTAGCAAAGTTCACCAGGTCATTAGCTGGGTGGAACACAGTTGATGTGTTTTTCTTTGTAAAGAAACCTCCCATCAGATACCAGGCGGTGGTGGCGCACACCTTTAGTCCCGGCACTCCATGAGGTGGGTCTCTTTGAGTTTAAGGCCAGCCTGGTCTACAGAAAGAGTTCTGGGACAGCCAAGGCTACAAAGAGAAACCCTGTCTCGATAAAAAGGAAAAGGAAGGAAGGAAGGAAGGAAGGAAGGAAGGAAGGAAGGAAGGAAGGAAGCTCTGTATACTTAACATTCCTGGTTTCCCTGGTGATCTGTGGGCACAAGGACCTTTGTACTCCCAACACTAGAGAAGTCAAAGGGATATAATTGAAGCCCTCCTGGTTCTCCACTCCTCTTGTATCCTTGGGTGTTTTGTTTTGAGACAGGGTCTAATGTAGCCCAGGCTTTCCTCAAATTTGCTGTGTTGTAAGGCTACCCTTGAACTTTTGCTCCTCCTGTCTCTACCTCCCACGTTAGGGTTACAGGTGTGCACCACTATACCCGGCCCTGCCTTCCCTTAGAAAAACACTGGGTCTACTTTCTGGGGCAGACAATGGTGGTTGCTTAGACAACAGTCATACTCTACCCCTTAACTCCTCATAGAAGTACAGGTTTTTTTTTTGTTGTTGTTGTTTTGTTTTGTTTTTTCGAGACAGGGTTTTTCTGTGTAGCTTTGGAGCCTATCCTGGCACTCGCTCTGGAGACCAGGCTGGCCTCGAACTCACAGAGATCCACCTGCCTCTGTCTCCTGAGTGCTGGGATTAAAGGTGTGCACCACCAACGCCTGGCAAGTCCAGTTTTCTTTACACATACATTCTGCCTTAGAATGACTTACTGTTTGAGAGAGACAGATGCTAACCCAGCCCGTGCAGACTGGCTTAAGTCAGTTACAATGATATCATTCCTTTAAGCCGGAGTTTGTTTTTGGCACTGGTAAATGATACCATTTTGAAAAATGAGATGTGAAGGAACTGTTTTGAGAGAGAGAGAGAGACATAACTGGAATAGAATTCGTTTTCCTTGTAATTTGGCGCGTTGAATTATAATGTGAATAGCATTGCCTCCCGTCTGTTCCCTACTGAAGTCATACTGTTGTCATGTATATTTATCCTAAAATTATTCTCTGAGATGTGAATGGCTAAAAAATTATAAAGGACAAAGGTCACCGTCCTCCCTTCTACATTGTCAGCTGAGTTGTTTCTGTCCTTCCAGAATCCCCTATTTTGAAACTAGTGCTGCCAATGGGACGAACATAAGCCAAGCCATCGAGATGCTCCTGGACCTGATAATGAAGCGAATGGAACGGTGTGTGGACAAGTCCTGGATTCCAGAAGGTGTGGTGCGATCCAACGGCCATACTTCTGCAGATCAGCTAAGTGAGGAAAAGGAGAAGGGGATATGCGGCTGTTGAGATGATGTCAGGCGCAGTGCAAATGGCCGCAGCACAAGGCTCCTGCTTGTGAGCTGTGCTGTAGAGATCCAGCCAGCACGCTGGGATGAACAGCACTGCATTGAAGGCCAATTGCTTCTCCTAGTCTCCAGTAGACATTAACTCAGCATCCATTTGTAACTTGTTGCAGCTTTATATATCCAAGAATTGGGAGAACTATTTCACAGAGCCAAAAGTGCCTTGTAAAGCCTAAGCCCGTGGTGGCAGGTCATTTGGGGAAATTCAAGATTTTGCATCCAGGAAATGTTGCATCTGTTATGTAGAATGCTGATGGTACTGTCACCTGCTGTAACACGGATAGACCTGGAGTCTCATTAAAGACATTAGGATCTCTGTGCAATGAAAGGCCATCATGGTCTTGAGAATCCAGATTTTAAATTCCATACCGCAGTTGACCACCTAGAACACCACTCACAAACACTTGAATGTTAATATTATGCACACATTGGGTCAATGTCTTTCAGCATTACCTTTAATGTAAGCCTTCCCTTTGACACAATTCATCAAAGGGAAAGATTACATTAAAATACAACCACATCTATAGACTGAGTAGATTGGGTTGACTGTGGCTTTGGTGGTGGTGGGAAGGGTTTGTAGGGCAGGGGTGGGTGAAGTAGTGGAAGCAAGTGAAGTCAGATTTTTCTGGCTGTTGGCTTCAGGGTCATGGAGACCTAGGTGTTTATGAGTGGTCTGTAGGTTCAGGTCCACATCCAAGCATAGCGAGTGTTTCTGCTGTGTGCTCGGCAAGAAACAGTTCTCTTTCTCTTTTTTTTCCTTCATATTTATTTTTTTTTTCTGGCACCTACAGGCTGCAGTTTCAATTCCTTTGTAGACTACTAATCTGACTTTACCATCAGGCTGAGTGTTATTGCTATTTCCCAGTTTGCTTTCTCTCCCATTAGTGTAATTGAAGGAATCTCTTTTTAATTCAACCACATGTTTATTTTCTATCTGGAGGGAGAGCAATGTCTGTATTTAAGCAGTCACGTGTGTATTCTAGCTTAAGAAAAATGTTTTGTAGCCTGTGCTTTCACTGGGGATATGGGTATTTTATGTACTTTCAGTATCTTGCCAAGATCATGTGCTCTATTGTCTCAGTATCTTCATGTCCAAAAAGAGTGGTTTAAAATCTTCTTCGTAAAATCTGTTTCTTCAGACCTAAGGTATCTCATTCAGAGCAAAATTCTTTTAAAAATGGGCTTAAAGAAAGTAACCAAAATTTTCAAAGAACTTCACCAAGAGGAAAAAAAAAACCCACCAATTATATATATTTGTTTTTGAGATAGGGTTTCTCTGTGGCTTTGGAGGCTGTCCTGGAACTAGCTCTTGTAGACCAGGCTGGCCTCAAACTCATAGAGATCTGCCTGCCTCTGCCTACCAAGTGCTGGGACTAAAGCCAAGCGTAGCCACCAATTATAATTTTAAAAAGTAAAAACTGGGTTTTTTTTTTTACAGTAAATGTTTGGCAAAGCTTGTAATTAGTAAAACAAATATAAAGGAAAATAAGTAGTTTGAATGGTAGTTCTCAAGTGTTTTGTTTTGTTTTTGTTTTTGTTTTGTTTTTTTAGATAGGGTCTCACTATGTAGCCCTGGCTGGCCTGGAACTCCCTTTGTAGACCAGGCTGTCCTTGAACTCACAGAGAAATGTCTGCATCAGCCTCCCAAGTACTCAGATTAAAGGTAGAGCCATCACACCCAGTCCTTAAAGCCTTTTTAAAATTCAGCATCTATTATTTATTGCCACTGTCCTTTGATCCCCTCCCCAGAAAAATTAGCCTTGGCTACTAAGCTTTTTCTGTCATTGATATGAGTGATTCTTTGACACATTGAAGCTGTCATTAAGGGTTTTTGTACCTGAATCCTCTATATCTGAAACAGATCCTGTGTTTTTTGGGGGGCGGGGGCGGGAGGAGGCATGCACAGTAGTGCCTTCCAAAGTTGTTCTAAGACTTCAGTGGAGTTAATCATTTATCTAGGTAAACCTTAAAAGTTTCTTTTGTAAATAAAAAATAAGTTAATGTCAGCCGGCGGCAGTGGTGGCACACGCCTTTGATCTCAGCTCGGGAGGCAGAGGCAGGTGGATCTCTGTGAGTTCAAGGCCAGACTGGTCTACAGAGTGAGTTCCAGGATGGGCTTCAAAGCTACAGAGAAACCCTGTCTTGAAACAACAACAACAAAAATGTTTACATGGTGCCGCTTTCAAGAAATAGATCCACAGTTAGAATCGGGTCTTGTTGGCTCCAGAACTGGCACAGGGTTAAATGTGTGTGATAGATACCCACACAAGAATTGCCTGATCTGTTGGGAAAAAATTGTATTCTCCTTGAAAATGGTTTAAATTTGATATAAAATAACCATTTTTTTGTGTCAATGTATTTTTCTACTCACAAATCTGTATAAAAGAAAATGCTCTTCACTGAATTTTGTGCCAATTAAACCATAATAATAAAAAAAAAGAGGTTCCGTCTGTCAGGTTTGTGTGAACATTTTAAACTGTGAACTGTAATGCCAAAGGAATCCAAATTCAGGATGCAGAGTCCATGAGATGCCCATTGAGGGGCCTGGTCAAAACAACATCCTGGGAATATAGTTCAAAATGTTTTCTTGGGCAATTTTATTCATGTGTTTCATGTGTATCAATGTTTGCCTGAATATATGTCTGTGTACCATATTTGTGCAGTGTCCTTGGAGGCCAGAAAAGGACATCATCAGATCCTTTGGGAATGGAGTCACAGACAAGCTGTGAGCTGCATTGTGGGTGCTAAGAATTGAACATGGGTCCTCTGGAAAAGCAACCAGTGTTCCTAACAGCTGAGCCATCTCTCCAGGCCCCAATTTAAAATGTTTTATCCAATGTTTACTGAGCACCTTTGAGAAATGGTGAACTAGGTGGTCTGAGGGAGCAAAACAAAGATGGTGACGGCCTGCACTCCAAGCAGAGCTGAGGGACAGTGCCAGGTCATTGGGGAAAGCTTGGCCACTGACTGAAAGAGGAGACTCAGCCCCCTACCTTATGTGTTGACACTTACATCCGCTCCCCTCAGGCACACCACCCTAGTGGCTGTATTCTTGGCCCTGAGCTCTAGCACTTGTTGGCCTGTCTTGGATGCTCGCTTTCCACAAGAAGCCAACTCAAGGAAGTCTAAAAGGCCGGAAAGCAGGTGAAAGGTTTAACAAAACAACTGAGCATTTCCCAAAAGTTAAAGTCAGAAAGGTTCAGAGTTTCCAAAGAATTGCTTAAAGTTAGGGGACAATGGGGCAAAGCATGGAATAAAAAATAATACAATAATTTATTTATTTGATGTGTGTGAATGTTTGCCTGCATGTATGTATGTCTGTGCAGTGTGCGTGTGCCTGGTGTCTAAGGAGGCCGGAAGAGGGTGGATGCCCTAGAATGGAGTCACAGATGGTTGTGATGGTTGTGAACCACCATGTGGGTGTGAGGGATTGAACCTGGGCCCACTGAACCAATCCCTTGGGTCTGCTGGGCCCTCTCTCTAGTCCCGAAGCATGGGATTTTGAAGAAGCAATTATGTTTAACTAAGAACCCTAAAAGCTGGGCAGTGGTGGCACACACCTTTAATCCCAGCATTTAGGGAGGCAGAGGCAGGCAGATCTCTGTGACTTTGAGGCCAGCCTGGTCTACAGAAGGAGTTCTAGGATGAACTCCAAATCTACAGAGAAACCCTGCCTCAAAAAAAAAAAAAAAAAAAAGACAAAAAACAAAAAAACAAAACAAAACCCTAAAACTGGGGCAGTGGTGGTGCTTGCCTGGAATTCTAGCACTCAGGGCTCTGAGGCAGAGGGATAATGGGCTACAGAGGGAGTTCTAGGCTAGCCTGAGCTACACAGAAAGACGGGAATCAATCAATCGCTAGGACATGAGAAGGGAAAGAGTCTGATTGAAACCTCTTTCCAGCTGAGAAGCAAGAAACACAATAGCATTTGCTGTGAAGGCTGCAGCCATGGGGTTAATATTCCTTTCATACATAGATATTCTCTGCTAAAGCAGCAACAATCCAGGCACAGGACCTGAATACACATGACCCTGTACATTAATTTCTGCAGACATTGCCTGAGATTCTCAAACAAAACTTAATTTTGTTTATAGTGAAGATAACCTACCTCCAAAACTCCTCCTGGACTAGATTTACCTTATCGGGTATCCCCAAGAAACATCCAGTGACAAGATAGTAACTTCACCCAAATCCTATAGACTATTGTAAAAAAAAAATAACGAATTTTTGTGGACATGGTGGCAGCACAACAATTAGTCCCAGTATTTGGAGGCAGAGGCTGGCAGGCAGGTAGCTCTCTGTGAGTTCCAGGTCAGCCAGCACTACACAGTGAGACCCTGTCTCAAAACATGGTTTTAGTCCCAGCACTTGGGAGTCAGAGGCAGGTGGATTTTTAACGACTACTAGGCCAGGTTAGTCTACAAAGCTAGTTCCAGGACAGCCAGGACTGTCACACAGAGAAACCCTGTCTTGAAAACCCAAATAATTAATAATAATACTTTAAAAAATAAAATAAATCTTAAGGCTTTAAGCGGTTTTAAACACTGTTCTGCAGACCCACAGAAGTTTGTAAGTCCATTCTGATCACCAAAATGTGTTCTGTCTTTTTCTGCCTCTTGATTCCTATTCTGCTCTGATCTCAAGACCCTTTGGGGCCTATTAAATACCTACAGCTGCCTAGACCCTCCCTACAGAAGACAAGGAAGAGCTGATTGAGTCCTGGGGTTTCTTCTGGCTGGGAATGAGACCCAAACTGCTGACCCTAGGAGGGTTGTAATTTCATTCTCCTTCCTTCCTTCCTTCCTTCCTTCCTTCCTTCCTTCCTTCCTTCCTTCCTTCCTTCCTTCCTTCCTCCTTCCTTCCTTCCTTCCTTTCTTCCTTCCTTCCTTCCTCCCTCCCTTCCTCTCTCCCTCCTTCCCTCCCTCCATTCCTTTCTTCTTTCCTTTCTCTCTTGCTCTCCCTCTTTCTTTCTACCCCTAGACAGGTTTCTTCTCACAGAGAGCTGCCTGCCTCTGCCTCCAAAGTGCTGGGATTAAAGGTGTGCACCACCATCACCTGCAAATAACTTCATTTTCTTAAATCTCAACGAATAAACAAAGTGAACAGGAAACTAAACGGAAATATAATTCTGTTGTTTAGAGAAAACAGGCTTTACAAATTTAAGATTCTTTCCAGTTAGGAAGCCATGTGTATGGAGTTGCCTTCACTAAAAGTGTTTTCTTTTGCCTTTGCCCAGCTGTGTCTAGAAAGTAAAAGAATTCAGGAAGCCCAGTTATTCTGGAGCATGTCTTGATTCCTGCCTGGGCAGGCTACTTAGCAAGACCCTGTCTCAAAATCAGAAGAAATAGAAAAAGGATGTGGAAATTTGTTAGCTGGGGCAAGCAACTCAGAGCTAAGGTGCAGGGAATATGTAAGACTTAATTGGCCTTCCCGTAAGAGGAGTCTTCCTGCTGTTGGGTAGACTGTCCTCAACTCCCTTTGTTCACACTTAGGATATCTGCTGGTTCCCAACACATATCTTTTTCTGCTGATTTTTGTTTATCTTGTTTGTTTTGCCCTGGAACTGTCCTGGCTGTCCTGGAACTCGCTCTGTAGATCAGGCTGACCTTGAACTCACAGAGATCCACCTGCCTCTGCCTCCCAAGAGCTGGGATTAAAGGAGAGCACCCCAACAAGTGTCTGAAGACCAGAAACCAGCCTCTCTATGAGTAACACACCTCTCTCACAGGTACAGCCAGTTTATCTGTGAGGCCTTGAAAACAGGCAGGGCTTCTGGGAGTGGGAAGCAAGGCCTGAGATCCAATGGGAAGGACAAGGGTGGGGAGGGGCTAGCAAACAGCCCTTAAAATACAGCTTGCCAGAGTGGCCTTTTTCTTTGGTTTTCTGGGTTTGGGGTTGCTTAGGGTATTTGTAATGATACTGGTGCGATATGACCACTTTTAAGAGCTTTAAGTCACTTGTCCAGCTGCAACACAAAGAAGGGACCTTATTTGAAGTTGTTGGAGACTCCAGCAAGCTGCCCAAGTGGTTCCATACCAAGTATCTAGGTGATCCAAAAGCAATGTACGTGGATGCTTGGCTCCTGGAAGTGATGTTTGGTGAGTGACCTGGGAAGGGAAGGCAGTGGTAACCTTTTTCCTGACTTCCATGTCTGAGGATGTCCTATAGAGAAAGCCTGTCCAGTGGCTGTGGCCCCAGGCCTGTACCATGTCCACCTGCTGCCTCAACTTCCGAACAAAAGTGCCAAGAAGTGGAAGCCACTTCACCCTCATGTTTCTCCTGTTCCCTGCTTAGGTAGGGATGGAGAGTACATTCCTCGTGTTGAGAGTGAGTCATGTACCTTGCTTGCTTCAAGTGAACCAGTGGGAACCTGAAGAGGAAGCTGAGATTTTCATATTCGGGCCTCCTTATTACCAAAAGCATGTTTTACAGATGATCTCAAACTTGGTTGACTATTTCTCAACAATGCAAGGTATGGGCGGGGAGTAGGGAGGGTTGTCTTGCCCAGCAAACCCCGGTTCGTTGGGAGGGATCCACTAGGGAAAATGGATTTTGGAAATGTACGAGGCCAGATAGCCCTGTGTTTGGGAACCTTTGTCCCCTACTGTAGGTCCCAGGGGTGACTGTCTGTACTAGTCTCTTTACACTGCTTTCATTCCAACAGAGGAGGACCTTTCTCAAGAGATTGAGACCCAGTGTCTTCCTGGGGAGGTTCTGGAGGCTGCCCCCCCCCCCCGACTCCTATGGAGGTCCATGAGACTGCCACCCAGCCTGCTCCCATGGAGGTCGGTGATGTTGTCACCCAGAAGACTCCCATGGAGGTCGGTGATGTTGCCACCCAGAAGACTCCCATGGAGATCGGGGATACTGCTGCCCAGCAGGCTCCCCTGGAAGTTGAGAGGCTGCTGCCCAGCTGGCTTCCTGGAGGTCAGTGATGATGCTACCCAGCTTGCTCCAGTGGAGGTCGGTAATACTCCTACGCAGCTGGCTCTCATGGTAGACCACGAGGCTTCCACCCAGCAGGATCATGTGGAGGCTAGTGAAGCTGCCACCAAGCACACTTCAGTCTCCCATTGAAGTCTTCAAGGCTGTCATCCAGCAGCATTCTGAGGCCCAGAAGTTTCCCGAGGTTGTTCTTTAGGGGGAGGAGGGGGGACAGGACCCAGAGTTCTTCTGTGGAGAGCCATGAGACGGAAGCCCAGCAGTCTTTTGATGTCAGTATTGAGCCTTCAAAGGCTGATTGGGAACCACTTACCTAGTTATAAAGGTGACCCAGGTGTTAAGCCAGGATAAATGTTGTACACATCTGTAACCCCAGCACCTAGAGGCAGGGGGCTCTCTAGTTCCTAGGCTAGCCTGGGATGAATGAGGTGGTGATGTTTAACCCCTGCCTGCCTAAGTCTCCAGACACCTTCTTTCTGGTTGTTTTTGACCTAAAATTGGAAGAACTAAAATTACATTAAATGTTTATAAATAAAACGGAAAATATTCCAATAAGGAATTGCATCCCCCAAGGTGTTTTATTTGGATGGTAGAAAGGAAACACTGCTCAGCCAAGTGTTGCTGGACAGACACCTCGTTATCTTCTTTGAGGGTGGAATCTCTCTAGGATTGTTGGTTCCCACCCCAGCATTCATGGGATCAGGATCAAATGCTTCCCTTTTTCCTTCACACAGTACATCTGGCAGGGATGGAGCGGTCCTGCAGGTCATTGAGTCTCCCACCTGCTATTTGACTCAAGGTGCCTTGAAGGGACTGGGGTTTGAAACCTGCTCATTTGACAAAACTGGCTCTGAAAGGTCTTTTTGGTTGTATCTAGTTGCCACTAGCTACTTCTGGTTTTGGTTAGTGTCCCTCTGGGAGGAGGGGAATTGTAGGAGCCTGGGACTGCAATGTTGTCAGCTTTAGGACTTTTCTGGGGTCATCTGAGTTTTCTGAACTTGGAGAGCATGTGGGTTGAGGCTTCTTAGTCTGAGTGGAGGCGGTTGAGTGCTCTAGAGTTGCACGGAAGCATTCAGGTGGTAGGGCTAACAGCTGGCAGGAATAATTGTGACTGACATTTTCCATTTAAATTCCAGGGGGGCAAGGTTGCAGTGCTGCATGACTTCAGTCTCAGTCCTTGGGAATCTGGGGCAGGTGGACCTCTGGAATTTCAGGGACATCCTGGTGTGCATAGCAAGTTCGAGGCCTGCCAGAGCTGCATAGTGAGACCCTGTACCAAAAACTCTAGGATCTTCACTGAGGAGGGGAGAGCAGATCTTGGCTTGGCACGTTCAAGACAGAGCTTCCATGTTCTGGGTGACAAAGTGGAATTTAGAGATGACTTGAGGACGGGATACCAAGTTTAAGGAACCTCTCCATGGCCATGTTCTTCTTGAGGCTTTGTCTCACTGTAGCTCTGGCTGGCTTATGACTGACACTATAGTTCAAGGCTGGCTTAATACTCTTAGGAGATCTGCTTACCTCTGCCTTCTGAGTGCTAGGATCAAGTCTTCGTGCTTGATCTCCTGGTGAGCCATTCCTCTTTATCTTACATCATGAGAAGACTGAGCATTCTTAATTCCAGATATGAGGACCCAGCATCGTGTCTACTCCTGTCTGTAAATGAATTAGGTCCAGGGAGGTGTGAAAGTTTGTTCAGAATGAATAATTTTACTTTGGCTATGATGTAGCGTAGTGGTAAGTGCTTCCGCTGATTGCACAGGGCCCTGGGTTGGATCCCCAGCACCAAAGGAAATAGATGCAGGTGGGGTTTTTTTTGGTTTTTTTTTTTTTTTTTGCTTATTTTTGTTTTCTTGACATCTTATGTAGCCCTGGCTGGCCTGAAATTCAATTATGTAGACCAGGCTGGCCTCAGCTCTGTCTGACTCTCCTGGGGTTAAAAGTGTGTGCCATCACATTGTTAGTGGAAACAAGATTGACTGTAGCCCAGGGCTTGAACTCATGTAGCTTTGGATGAAGCGCAGCATTTTTTTTTTTTAATTTTGGAGACAGAATATTTGTGTAGCACTGGCCCTTCTGGAACTCGGGCATGTAGAACAGGTTGGCTTTGAACTCCGATCTGCCTGTCTCTGCCTCCTGAGCACTGGGATTATGGAAGTGCAGCACTACCACTCAGCTGGCCCTGAACTTTTGATCTACCTGTCTCTACCTCCTAAATGACAGGATTATAGGAGTGTACCACTGCAGCTAGTCAACTCTCAAGATTTAAAACTATAGTTAAATCTTTTACTTTAAAAACAGTATAGTATAAATGGGTTTCATGGGGACACTTGTGCATGTACAACATGCACTTTTTTTTTTTTAGACTGTCCTGGAACTCTATCTGTAGATGAGGTTGACCTCAAACTTATATAGAGATATCCTGCCTCTACCTCCTGATCACTGAGATTAAAGGCATGTGACACCACAGCCTGGCTAATATGGAGTTTGATTACATTTGGCAGTCATTACCTTTGTCCTGTCTTAGTTAGGGCTTCTGTTGTTGTAATGAAACACCATGACCAAAAAGCAAGTTGTTGAGGAAAGGGTCTGAAAAGGAACACAACTGGACACAAGATATGGTTATTGATGGTATATTATAAATGATAATAAGAACAACTCACACATGTAGCCGATAACCAGATTGGCACTCCGAGCAGCCCAGTCTCAGACACACTCGGAGACCCGGCCTGAACCCCGAGAGAGAACAAGCTCGGGCGTGGTCAGTAGTACAGGTATCCAGGGTCTCTCTCTACAAGGGTCTATTTGGCTTACACTTTAGCATTTGCTGTTCATCACTGAAGGAAGTAAGGACACGAACTCAAACAGGGTAGTGTCCTGGAGGCAGGAGCCGGATGCAGAGACCAGGGAGGGGTGCTGCTTACTGGCTAGCTTCTTAAAGCTTGTTCAGTCCACCTCAGAGAACCCAGGATCAGCAGCCCAGGGATGGCACCACCCATTGTGGGCTAGGCCCTCCCCCATTGATCACTAAATGAGAAAATGCCTTCCAGCTGGGTCTCATCAAGGCATTTCCTCAACTGAGGCTCCTTCTGATGACTCTAGCTTGTGTAAACTCGACACACAAACCCAACTAATAATAGTTCCTTTCTAATTTTAGCTTATTTGATTTCAGATCCCCGATAATGTAGAAAATATATTAGGTTTGTCTTTCTGAAATGGCTTTGAAAAATTTTTGATATGTTGCACTTCATCTGTTTTCCTGTAAATATTTCCCCTTCCCAAATTCTTGGTCTGTAGCTCTTGTTGGCTTGTGGTTGCTTTACTGCTCTGGTCTCCAAAGCAGTAGGATTACAGCAGTGAGGCACCACCTTGACTTCAGTGGTATAATTACATTCCTCTAACAGATTTTGTGGGGTTGTGACAGGGTCTCTCACTATATCCAGGGCTAGCCTGGGACTTGTGGCCATGTGCCCTCCTCAGCTTCCCAAGCGAAGGGACTATAGGCTCTTGGGATAGGAAAGTAGGGGCTGTAGATGGTCTTATGGAGCCCAGGCTATCTAATTTGCTACACAGTGGAAGATGACGTTGCCTCTGCCTTCCAAATGCTGAGATGACAGTGCACCATCACAGGGGCTTTCAGTTTGCCATTTTGCAAGAAAGACTACAAAGTAGCAGATAGAGAATGAAATGGATATAGTAAAGAAACCCAAATAATCACTTCATGGGTGAAAAAGTTATTCTAAATTGCTAAGGCTGTCTCTCCACGAAAGCAAAAGCAATGGGGTGAGGTGTATATGTGTGTGTGGGCATATTACCACATCTGGGTTTTATGGTACCTGGGAAGAAGGGAGCCTTTGAGCTGGGTGGGCCTTGTGAGGTGGGATTGAGGGGTCAACCTTGACATGCTAATATCATGGTACCAAAGCCATATGTTAATGAGAGCCATACATACCTTTTGCCAGAGATAAGAATGACTCCATTTAGCAAGTAGGAATATCTTTGTTTTGTTTTTTTGAGGCCGGGTTTCTCTTGTAGCTTTGGGGTCTGTCCTGGAACTCTCTCTGTAGACCAGGCTGGCCACCACTACCCGGCTAAGTAGGACAGATCTTTAAGCCCCTGAGGGAATGCTGACTTTTGTCTAAAAGCTGGACTTTGGGAAAAGGATTTTCTTGATTGTTCTGAAAGATAGGGACACAATGGCCCTTTGTATCTCTGCACTTATGGATGTGTCTGAGATGACTTTCAAAGGAAGAATATGGTAAGGTGTGTACAAAACAAAACATCCTTGGTTAGAGACAGCACAGGAGGCCTGATTCTCATGTGTGTGTGTGTGTGTGTGTGTGTGTGTGTGTGTGTGTGTGTGTGTGTGTGAAACTAGGATTTTGAACATATCAGACAGGTAGGTACTATATAATTGAGCTATTCCCAAACACTTTTTTTATTTTGAGACATGGTCTTATAGCCCAGGCTAACATGGAATTCACCATATAGCCAAGAATATCGTTGAATTTCTGATCCTTCTGCTTCTGCCTTCCAAGTGCTGGGATATAGGTGTGTGCCACCATCGAGCAGAACAACCACATTTAGGCACAGAGCCGTATCTCCAGCCTCATGTATATTAGTTTTGAAATTAAGATACTGTTCTCTTCCCCTCTATTTCTGCTTTTCTCTCTCTCCCTCATTCTAATATCCACCCCATCCCAGTCTTTCTGTGTTGTCAAAGATTTCTATGCTGGTTAGTTTTTATGTCAACTGGACACAAGTAACAGTCATTATGGAAGTGGGAACCTCAGCTGAGAAGCTGGACAGTGATGGTGCATGCCTTTAATCCCAGCACTGGGGGAGGCACAGGCAGATTTATTTATTGTGTATACAGTATTCTGTCTGCATGCATGTTTGCAGGCCAGAAGAGGGCCCAGATTTCATTACAGATAGTTGTGAGCTACCATGTGGTTGCTGGGAATTGAACTCAGGATCTCTGGAAGAACAGTAAGTGTTCTTAACCTCTGAGTCATCTCTTCAAACCCATGTTACAGATCTTACCATCCCCAAAAGGGTCAAGATCATAAAACTACAAGCATGACTATATATCTATTACATAAAAGTATAGAAAACAGCTTACAAACTAAAGGGAGCAGTTCGAGATGGGAAGTGTCTTCGTTATTTTTCTGTTGCCATGATAAAACAACATAACCAAGACAACTCACAGAAGAAGTATTTAATGGGGCTTACAGTTTGGGGATGAGTTCATGACTGCTATGGCAATGAGCATGGCAGCAGATAGGCATGGCAGTAGCTGGGTGCTTACACCTGATCCACAGCACAAAGAGAGGGAACTAATTAGGTATGGTATGTGGGCTCTTGAAACCCCAAAGTCACCCCCGGTGGCACTCCAACAAGGCCACACCTCCTAATCAGAAAGACATGGAAAACAGCCTACTTAATCCTTCAGTTGCATAGTCTGGGAACTGAGGTCCAAGGCACCAGTTGTGATATTTTGTCCAGTGAGGTCAACTCAGGAACAGAAGACCATAACTTTGGGTTTGGGGGATGTAGTCAGTGGAAGAGTACTTGCCTAGCATGCTCAGACCTAGCACACAGGAAAATTGATAAAACTACTAACTTTTGATCAGGAAGATAGGAAAGGCCAGTGGGACAGGAGGATAGGCAGCCCTGTAGAGCAGCTTTGTATAGTATGAGATACACAATAGAAGCCACACGTCATTGTCAATTTTCTTGTGGCCACACTTCAAAATATGAAAAAAAAAAAAACCCAGGCAAAAGTATTTTGGCTTTTTCCCCTTTCTTTGACAGGAGCTAAATAAGTAGTTCTGGCTGACCTGAAATTTGCTAAGTAATGTCTAGAACCCACAGACGTCTCTCCTACAGCCTACCTTTGCATACCCAGTGATGGTGTTAAGGACATATACCACCACACTTAGCCAAAAATTTAACAGTATGATTTATTTAAACATACTTTAAACATTCCAATATGTGATCAACATATAAATATCGAGCTAGGAGCTGGGCAAAGGCAGGAGGCTCTTTGTGAGTTCCAGTCCAGCCTGGTCTACATAGCAAGTTTTAGGAAGGGCTCCAAAGGTCACAGAGAAATCCCATCTCGAATATCAAAAACAGCCGGGCGGTAGTGGCCTTTAATCCCAGCACTCGGTAGGCAGAGGCAAGCGGTTCTCTGTGAGTTTGAGAACAGCTTGGTCTACAAGAGTGAGTTTCAGGACAGCCACCAAAGCCACAGAGAAACTCTGTCTGGAAAAACCAGTAAATAAATAAATAAACCAACAAACAAACAAAAAAATCGAGCCAGGTAAGGTGACACACCTCTATAATACTAGCATGTAGGCAGGGGGATGGTGATTTCCAGGTAACCTCAATTACATTTTGAGATGTCTACCTCAAAAAACAGAATGAGGTGCTGGAGATGACTCAGTGATTAAGAACACTCGCTGCTCTTCCAGGAGGCTCAGAACCATTTATTAACTCCAGTTCCAGGGGATCCTACGCCATCTTCTGGCCTTGGCTGGCACAGCACACACACTGTGAACATGCTAAGCAAGCAAAACATAAAATACAGATTTAAAAAACACCCAGGCATGGTAGTGCACCCTCTTAACTCCACTACTATGGAGGCAGAGGCAGGCAGACCTCTTTTTAGTTCGAGGCCAGTTTATAGAGTCAGTTCCAGACCTCGGAAACTGAGATCCTCTCTCAAAAATACAAAACCGGGACAAAGGACCCGAGATCAATCCCTGGAACCCACAGTTTGTCTCCCGAGGCCGGGGAGGGAGGTTGTTGCTGTGTACTCCTGCCAAGTCTTTTGGGGAAGGCAAGCCTGGGGTAAAGGAGACTTGGCCACAATTCGGCCTGAGGAGCGTACTCATGGCAAACACACAAACCACAATAACGTGAGTATCACGGAAGAATTCTGCGACACCTGAAGCGCAGGTACAAAAGATGGCCAGGGACACTGACTCAAAAAACACGGATGCAGACTGCAGCCTCCGAGCTTGTGCACGGCGGCCACGCGGCTACGCATGCGTCCGTCGGGAGGTGCCTTGACGTTCAGCGCGCCCTCCAAGGACCATTTCCCGGTCAAGGCAGAGAATTGCTTCCGGCGGCTAGGAAGTGACGTTTTGCATCACTTCCTCTAAGCTCGGCTCCTGGGAGGTGGGTCCCACGCGGAGTCAACATGAGGATCGAGAAATGTTATTTCTGTTCCGGGCCGATCTACCCTGGCCACGGCATGATGTTCGTCCGCAACGATTGCAAGGTGAGGCGGCCGCGGCCCGCGCTCCCGACAGCTGGGGACGGAGCTGGCGGTGGGTTCGTAGCTGCTCCGGGTGGCCTGGGCTGGGAGTCCGGGCCTAAGCTCACTGCGGGCGAGGTCTCCTCGCTGCGGTCGGACGCTCGTCTCATCCCAAGGCCTCCAGGGCTGCCGTAGGATCAGGAACTCGGCCGAACGCATGCTCGGTCAGGCTTCGTGCTGGCCTCCGGGGGAGGTTAATGGACACGGTGCCTGCGGCCTAGTAGAGTTCTGCATTGTTGCTGCAGGTGAGCTAGGAGAGACTCAGAATGGAGGGTGTTTGGGGAACTGGCTTCCTCGCAACCTTCACTGTCCCGCTTCATCAGACCGTCGGGAGCAAAACCTCCTTTAGCCGTCATGGGACGGTCCAGTTCTTGACCCCCTTGATCTCTCCAGGTCTCAAGTTCAGGAAGCCTCGGAGCACTTCTGGCTACACCGGATCCTTCCCCCCGAGTTCTGTGTTTCGATTTCTGCAGGCGAAGGGAGAGAGCATCCTATGTAGGACATTGCACAATTTGAGTCGAAGGCGCAGAACTTAGAGAACAGTTGAGTCTCTGAAGGAAGATTGGCAAAGGCTTGGCGTGGGGCTGTTAATGTGAATAGTATAGATAGCGGGTGAACTTATGGCAGGTGAACTTATGGCAGGCCTTCTTGTATAGTACACGCCCTTGTCCTCATATTTGGGAGTGAGTTCCATTCCTCTAAATCACAGGATTGCATGTACGTGATGTACTTTGGTCCCATTTGAGCCGGTTACCGTCCTGCTCCCCGATGGATCCTTTTCTTTTTGCAGATAGTTCCCCTTCATTTGGTATCATGCTTTTTTTTTTTTTTTTTTTTTTTTTTTTTTTTTTTTTTTTTTGGTGAAGCAATGAGTTTCATTAGGGTGACTTAACAAGGGTATGGGTGAAGGGTTATTTAAAGGAGCATAGCACTTTATTAGCCTATGCTAATAAGAGCGTCCTCCCCCAGAAGCTAATTGCATATAAATCCATATGGAGGGGTGGATGGAATTTTGTGAGCCCTTCTGACGGGACTGGATTAAAAGGGAAATGTGAGCCTGTGAATGTCGCTTCCCCATGCCTCATTATGATATTATTTCTCATACCTGTTCGTTGTTATTGTGGACAGCTTTATCTTGTTTGCATCCTGGTCTGATCTCAATTTTGTTTGCAAATTAGGATATCACAGGAGACTAGGCTTGTAAGGTGGAGCAGTAGGTTGAATTATTCTGTGTCTCCATTGTTAGCTGATTGACCCCCTTCTATCCTCAGTGACTCCTGACTCCGGGATACCTCAGTGATGTGTATGTAATTTTTCGTGTTTTTTTTTTTTTTTTTTTTTTTTTTTTTTTTTTTTTTTTTTAATCCCCTTAAAGACAGTCTCACTATGTAGTCCTGGCTGGCCTGGAACTCCCAGTGTAGACTAGGCTGGTCTCCACCTGGTAGAGATCCACCTGCCTCTGCCACCCAAGTGGTGGATTAAAGGCCAAATAAGTCTTGATAAATACGGAGTTAAGTACACTTCTCATTGGGTCTGCTTCAAGTTTGAAAAACCCAGAACAAGTTTAAACCCATCATTCAAAGGATCTTAGAAATGAGGGTTTGCCTAAGGGCTACCTAGTAGGTGTTAAATGTTGGAGGCTTTTTTTTTTCCCTGAAAAAGTTAATAGTTTGGCGGGTGAAGATAGGCTGCTATAGTGATAGTGATAATGGGTCACTCTAGGACACTAGAATGGTTCTCATAATTTTGGTGGAATTAGCTGAAGGATATAGCTGTGCTCTCATCCGAGTCTCAGAGGGCTCTCCAGGAGCTTTGGGCATTAAAGTGCTGTTGACAGTTTGGGAAGCTTGCCCTGTTATGTGCAGTGCCTTCTTGCAAGTTCTCATCAAATGACGTATGTAAGCGAAAGATTATGATTTGTGCAATATGTACAGACTTTCTTTCCAACTGGTGTGACTGGGCCACATTTTAGTTGTCATACTTAGCTTTCTTTGCTAGAAACTCCATTAACTTCAAAGACTTGCTTTTCATGTTTCTTCCAGTGACACACAGGCATTATAGGTAGCAAAATAATGTAGCTTAGGCTTGTAAAAGCCTTACTGTCCATTTCAAAAACACATGGAAGTATAAGCTGAAAGTTGCTGCTGTTTTTTTTTTTTTTTTTTTGGTTTTTCGAGACAGGGTTTCCCTGTATAGCTTTGGAGCCTATCCTGGCACTCGCTCTGGCCTCGAACTCACAGAGATCCTCCTGCCTCTGCCTCCCGAGTGCTGGGATTAAAGGTGTGCGCCACCAACGCCTGGCTAAGTTGCTGCTTCTTTGGGATAAAGACGGGGAATTAAAATTTGTAAAGACCCTGACTTAGATCTGTGAATGTGATCTTTCAAAACACATCCAGCACAAATCCTGGGAGCAAATGTCTTTGAAGGTCTAGGCAAGAGGATTCCACATTGTGGGCCAGCCTGGACTACACAGTAAGGCTTTGTTTTAGAACAAGAGCAAAAAAGAAATTCACTGCAGAACTCATAGTTAATGATAAAATAGATACTGAAGAAGAAAAGGAGAAATGACCTATTAGCAGTTTTAGTTTTGAAAATATTTTGTGCTTGCAGCCAGAAGGAAGCAAAACTCGCCGTCACTGGGTGGTGGTGGTGGTGGTGGTGGTGGTGGTGGCGGTGGCAGTGGCGGCACAGTCCTTTATCAAGCACTTGGGAGGTGGATCTCTTGTGAGTTTGAGACCAGCCTGGTCTACAAGAGCTAGTTCTGGGACAGCCTACAAAGCCACAGAGAAACCCTGTCTCAAAAAAACCAAAAAAAAAAAAAAAAAAAAAGAAAAGAAAAGCAAGTGATTTTTAGAATGATCACAAATCGAGAAGGGGGGATTTAAGGAACTTTTCTTAGAATTGTTCCTTCACTTAAGGTCAGGGTAAGTTATATTCTCTAAATTGATTAGTGATTGTTGTTGTTTTGGGGTTTTTAGCCTGTTGTCAGGGATGGTCACACCCACTGAACACTTTGAGTTCTGTTCTGATGTCTCTTGTGATTCTCAGTGTGGTCAGTAGGAGTCGTTCATGAACACCGTTATCATTTCTCAGACTCCACAGTAGTTTTTGTTGGTTGGCTAGGTGGTATATCCTGTGATGAAACATTTTTATTGTTGATGCCAGTATTTTAACAAGGGTGTCTTACAGGTGTTCCGATTCTGCAAATCCAAGTGTCATAAAAACTTTAAGAAGAAGAGGAACCCACGCAAGGTCAGGTGGACTAAAGCCTTCCGGAAGGCAGCTGGCAAGGAGCTCACGGTGGTGAGTACTGTGGTGGTCGCCCAGCCTGAGCATGGGGTCCTGTCATCTGGTTGTGAGTGCTTTGTTTTGTTTGGCTGTGGAAAGTCTCATTCTCATGTGATGCCCAGATCAAGGGAAAAACTGCCCACCCCAGTTTATAGAAGTGTGGTTTGTTTGTTGTTTATTTATGTATTTTTCAGTTTATTCATTTATTTTGTTTTTTGAGACAGGGTTTCTCTGTGGCTTTGGAGGCTGTCCTGAAACTAGTTCATGTAGACCAGGCTGGTCTTGAACTCACAGAGATCCGCCTTCCTCTGCCTCCCGAGTACTGGGATTAAAGTCGTGCGCCATCAACACCCGACTTAATAATTTATTTTGACAGACAGGGTTTCTCTGTGTAGCTCTGGCCTTCCTAAAACTAGTTGTGTAGACCAGGCTGGCTTCGAACTCACAGAGATCCACCTGCCTCCTCCTCCTGAGTGCTAGGATTAAAAAGGTGTGTGCCATCACTGCCCCGAGGTGTTTCTTTCTCTCCACCCCTCCCCCCCCCCCAATATATTTTGGCCTTTGCAAAGAGAAAGAATAATGTGTTGGATGAAGTGGAAGTTGCCCTTTAAGGATTGAGAGGAGGTTGGGAGAAGAGCTGATGTGCTCCCAAGTAGCACTGAGGCTAGGTGAGGTTTGAAACAGACATTATCAGTGTCTGCATGTCCTTGGTAAAGCTGTCAGAGAACAAGCTAGCAGGTATTAGGTGGAAGCCAAGGGCTAGGGGATGCCTTGAGAGATTTGATGCCAGGATCTCGTGGAACTTGTCCACATTTGGTCCCTGAAGAGGGAGAAGATGGAAGCTGTAGTTGTCCTTTGCTGTAGGAAGATGTCTTAAGTTGTTGTACCCCTCTGTGGTTGTCCCTTTCCCTCTAGCCCTGTGACCTCTCCCTCCTGCCTCTCTGTAATCCCTGGTTCTCATACCAGAGCTGTCTAGGGAACACAACTGCATACTGTGTAGGACAGGAGGCCAAATCACAGCTACTTTCCAAATGATCTTGAGTGTGGGTGAAGCAGCCAGAGAGAGGGGTACCAGTTCTGTGCCCCCCCCCCCCCCAGCTGCCAGCTGCCAGCTGCCTTACTGCTGAGCACATTGAGAGCTGAACAGAGTCTCACGGTTGTAAATGAAATAGCTAGTGTGGAGTTAATATTCCATATGCCTCTACCAGCTGCATTTGAAAACCAAGGAATACAGGCATTTTTTTTTTTTCAAACTGTTTTGCATGTCTTGAGATAAATGCTTATTAACTATCAAGATACCTCCATTTGGAGGGCCCAGAGCCACACAGGGCGAAGGTTATATCCTGCAGGTATAACTTGTGAAACAATGTGAATTCTTGGTGTTTGACTTTTGAGCTAAGAAAAATGGTTCGTGTAGTGGAAGTTTGTGGCTGTGATTGTCGTGTGGAGCTGGGAAATTGGGGAAGCCTTTTCAGTTTGTTTGTAATTCTCATGGTTCTTTGGTAGGTCCTGAAGGAGGGAATGATTTTCCTCTCCCTCTGGGAATCTTCCCATTTTCCCAGAATTTGGGCTGTTTTCAGCTCGTACTCCTCAATGTTAGGAAGAGGGAGGGCGTCTTATATTTGGCCACTTAGGATTTTTGTGAAAAGGAGAATATTTTAAACAATGATTGCTTACCAGCCTTCTGTGCCATCTTATAGGACAACTCGTTTGAATTTGAAAAACGTAGAAATGAACCTGTGAAATACCAGCGAGAGCTATGGAGTAAAACTAGTAAGTCTTGGGAATGGGGTGTTGAGGGGAGACTGTAACTTTAAGTGCTGGTTTGTATAAATACTAAACTTGCCTCATTGCTTGGCTCTTTTTCATTTCGTGTTAATGGTCCTGGTGATGTTTATGTCTTTAACCAAAAGTTATTCCAAATTCTTTTTAGAATTTGGCTAAATTTGGATATATCAGAAATTGGCTGGTATATCCATATAAAAATAATGTAATTATTAAACTTGAAGTGCCCACACAAAATAAAAACCACAAATTCTGAGAGAATAATAAGGAAATGTTCTGGTGGGTGAGGTGAGACCCAGTTAGGAAATATACGGGCCTATTATGCATCGCCAATCTAGACTGGCTGCTCCTGGGTTGTAACCAGAGGCTGTTCTGTCCTGACCGTCCCTTCAGCTGTTTTTAAAATAATCATTCAGAGACTTATAATTAATATTAAGTGTTTGGCCGATGGCTCAGGTTTATTACTAGCTAGTACTTACATTTTAATTAATCCATTTCTATTAATCTGTGTATCCCGCATAGCCTGTGGCTTACTGGTGATGCTCTGGCATGTTGCTCTTTGAGGGGTTGCTGGCATCTCAGATTCTGCCCTTCTCCTGTATCTCTGCTTGGATTTCCTGCCTGTCTCTATCCTGTCTTGCCATAGGCCAAAGCAGCTTTATTTATCATCCAGTCAGAGCAGCAACATAGTCACAGCATACAGAAAGACATCCACTATCACGAGGGTTAGGTGTATGCCTGTGCTGTAAGATTAAAAAGGTGTTGCATTTAAGGCTATCAGTATAGATTTTAAGGGGTGACTAGTGCTTGTTTAGGTAAATATGAAGTTATGGGCCCCAAATTAAAAGCAGTAGTGTTCAGCCCTTGTCTTTTTTCCACCCTTGAGGTAGGCAGGGACTTTAATTCAAGGGAGATAGTGTTGTAAAATTTAGTTCCTTCTTTTCATTTTTAAGAGGATCTTGCTGTGAAGCCATGGCTGGCCTTGAACTCGCAGCATTGACCTCCTGAGTGCTGGTGTTATAGGTGTCTGCTGTGTTGCTGTGTGATCTTTTAGGTTGCAGTATTCCCCCCCTCCCCCAAGACAGGGTTTCCTTGAGTAGCTTTGGAGGCTGTCCTGGAACTAGTTCTTGTAGACCAGGCTGGTCTAGAACTCAGAGATCTGCCTGTCTCTGCCTCCTAAGTGCTGGGACTAAAGGTGTGCAACACCACCGCCTGGCTTACATTGCAGTATTTTTGTGTGTGACAGGTCCTCTCCTCTGCCTTCTTTCTGTCCCATGTTGCTTTTATGTAGCCTTCAGCTTGCAGCTCATACAGGGTCCCTGCCCTCTTTCAGAATCTCCCTGGTTTTGATTACTTGCTGACTGCTTCCGGTATTCCAGGCTCATTCCTACATGTGGAAATGCTGTAAGAAGCAGTGTGGTTCTGCTTTTCTTCCGTGCCTGGGTTCTGTGAACCTTTTTATTGAATCCTAAAAACAGACTTTTCAGAAGTGTTTTGTGTAGACAGTATGGGAGTCTTAAGATTGCTCCCTCAACTGCCTTATGCAGTTAATAGGCCTGAGTAGTAAGTATAGCCAGCATCTCATACTAATAGCTCTGTCACAGTGATTGTTTTGTATTGAATTTTTCATTTAAGCCAAAGTGATGCAGAAGTATTTAATGTAATTGTTATAATTATACTGCTTGAATGTGTGTAAATTTTCTGACTTGTATTTTTTTTTTTTTAGTTGATGCAATGAAGAGAGTTGAAGAGATTAAACAGAAGCGCCAGGCTAAGTTTATAATGAACAGGTATGTGTATTTTTAGAGGAATAATTAGAAGATTTCTAGAGACATTGGTGGTTTCGTTTTTTTGCGGGGGGGGGGGGTTTCGAGACAGGGTTTCTCTGTGGCTTTGGGGGCTGTCCTGGAACTAGCTCTTGTAGACCAGGCTGGTCTTGAACTCACTGAGATCCACCTGCCTGCTTCTGCCTCCCGAGTGCTGGGATCAAAGGCGTGGGCCACCACCACCTGGCAACACTTCCTGCTTTTTGTGCCTCAAGTTATCTGTCCCATGTAAGATTTTTTTTCCTTAAACACAGTGTGCTTCCACTTCCCACATAGTAATCAGCTCATAGCTCGTCAGGCTCCTTTCACATGGACAGGTTCCCATCTTCCTTTGTCTTACAGGTCTAGATGTTTCTGAAGAGTGCATACTGGTCAGGTTGTTGGATAGAATGTTGCTTCATTTGGGTTTGTCTGCTTTTCCTCATGGTTAGACTTTGGTTAGGCGCCCTTGGAAGGAATGTCACAGTCATCACGTGTCCTTGCTCGTGTGTCCTGTTGCTGTTAACTCTGATTCTTTGGTTACAGTGGTGTTTCCAGGTCTCTCCCTAACAAAGAGTTCTTTTCTTGGTAGTTGATACGGAACATATTCTGGAAAGAGCTCGTCACTCCTCAGTCTTGTTCTTGTTTTTACCCTCCATGGGAGAGAGTGGCCTTAGTCATGGCTTCCCTTTTCCCCTCCTTCAGGGTCTCCTTTCCTCATAGAAGCATGGATCTGTGTTTGTGAACTCCTGTGGTATTTGGTAGGCTGTGATTCATATTGCTGTGTTGGATCCTGTCCCCTGTCCTGTCCTGTCATACCCACCCTACCCCCCAGGGTTTCTCAGTAGCTGTGGAACTTGTCCTAGAATTCACACTATGTCACTCTCGATAGGCTGGAACTCAGAGATTCTCCTGCCTCTCCTGAGTGCTGTGATTAAAGGAGTATGCCATCCCAACTAGCCTTTTTTTTTTTTTTTTTTTTATTGTTGTGTGTGTGTGTGAATGTGTCTTTTGTGGCATGTATGTGGAGCTCAGAGGATACCTTGCAGGAGTTAAGTTCTTTATACTATGTAGGTCCAAAGGATTGAGTAGTTAGGCTTGGCAGCAAGTCTGAGCCATGTCTTTGTCAAAAATTAGTCTTAAATCTAGCCATGGTGGCAGTCTTAGCAAAGAAGCCTGCTGTGGCAACTTTCTGGCATTTCAGAAGGTGAGCATGGATGTTTGAGAACAGCTCCGTTAGCATTTCTGATGTCTTAAGTGTTTTATGCTCTTGTAATTGCTGAATAATTAACAAAGCTACACAACATGGAGTCTGCTCAATGAGGAGGAAGAACACACACACACACTGGCATTTGGGAGGCTGCCTTGTGCCATAGAGCTCTGTCTGTGCCATGGAAATGAGCTCTGAGATCTGCCGAGGCCTCAGTCAGACCCCCATTCTGTCAGCAGGTCCTCACTGAGTCCGCACTTGCGCCGCCCTAGGTACAGTGGATGCGGTGAAGGAACAGGTTGCTAGGGTAGAAACCTGCTTCATTAGGAACTTGAACATTTTGACATTTCGAGGGAATTATTAGGGAAGAGAATGTCTATCAGTGAGGGCTCCACGGGTGACTTTGTCTTGATTTGTGGATAAAGATGTTTGGGAACCATCTGATTACTTGTTGACCCACAGCAGCTGTTGCTGGGTGGGAGAACAGGAAGGAACAGAAGGGTGGCCACTGCTTTCCATTCCCACCTGTGCCCTGTGCAGACAGACAGCGTCATTAGGGAATGCAGTGGCTGTGGTGGGAATTAAAGTCTCAGAAGTTTGAGTCACTGAAGTGTGGCTTTGATGCATTTTATCACAGGTTGAAGAAAAACAAAGAGCTGCAGAAAGTTCAGGACATCAAAGAAGTCAAGCAGAACATCCACCTTATCCGGGCTCCTCTTGCAGGTGAGTAGAGAGGCGGACAATCTGATTTTGTAGTTGGTGTAGTTGGGCCCCAGCTAGCTTTCTAAAGGTAGTTTTTAAGACCAGATATTAACCTATAAGCCCAAGGACCCTGTAACTTCCTGGAATGCTGGGAGTTGTAGTTTTTAGAAAGTTACAACGCTCTGTGGGAAAAAAACTGGCTTTATGGGTTTGTCCTTATAAGCACCTATAAAATATGCCTCAGGGCCACTCACCTGGGAATTCCAGGGAGTGGACCTGGCCAGAGCCCATCTACCTGGCCAGCATTCACTATTTAAGAAAAGTTTGTTTCAGGTTTCGCTCAGAATGGTGGAATTAGTTTTTCTATGGTGAATCTCAGAGGCCTGCATCTGGGTAGCTGAAGTCACAGCCCAGCTTTGCGTTCTGAACTCACCAATCAAGTGACGTAGGACATGTGCATCTGTCTGTAGTTTCTCATGGTTCAGTAAGGTTTGCAGAAGTTTGAGATGAGGAGTTTGTAGAGTGCTTTGTGCATTTGTAAGAAATGTTTGTGAGTTTGGCTAGTATTCTCAAATCCTTAGAAATGGCTACTACTGTCGGGCAGTCAGGACGCTTTGTAGAGTGCAGGAATAAATTGTGCAGGGTCACACTTAAGTTCCTGTGCTTTACAGTTGTCTTATATTTAAATTTGAGTTTATTTTGTGAATCGAATGCAGGAGTACTGTATTTACATTTTATCTACTGCATCTTTTAAAGGCAAAGGAAAGCAGCTGGAGGAAAAAATGGTGCAGCAGTTACAGGAGGATGTGGACATGGAGGATACTTCCTAATGGAGCCGCCTGAAACCAGCCCTGGGCACACTGGAAATCAGTGTAGACTGTTGATCCCTAAGTTATTGATTGGTTTCATAAGGTCCCTCAGACAAAGGGGATGTACATGTTTCCGTCTCACATTGCAGCCTTTAAAAGCATCCATCATGGGAGTTAGAGCTCAGCTCAATGTTCTGCTTCACTGTGTTATGCTCAGAAAACATGAAAGTTTGTGTGTAGATGAAGGCATGAACTCTGGGCATAACATGGTTGAGCCATTGCTTAATGGCACCAGGTGACATTACTGTACTGACTGTCTTGCTAGTGTGAAATTTGTAATGATGTAATATTTTCCTTGTACTAGAATTGCCTATTTATTAGGGTTATTGAAGCAGAGGTCCCAGCAAGGAACTAACCGTTCTCATGACAACCTCAGTCTCTTGTTTTGGTTTAGTCTGTTTAGTAGCTCCTTAGGGTTGCATACTGGCTGCATACAATGCTACAATGCAGCTGAATTATGCCAGGCTGTTTGTCCTGCTTCAGCCATTGAAATAGGCAGCTTGAGGATGTTGGGGGATGGGACAGGTTGAATAAACTTTGCCTAAATGGTATCTTATTACAGCTTTAGAGAACACTCAATTCCAAGTTGTGTCTTCTGGCCAACAACACAACTCACTGCCCCCCATTCTCTCCAGCCCAGCAATGGTCTAGAAACAGAAGAATCTTGGTGTCTTTTAAATTTTTTTATGTGATTTTCTTTTTTGGATTTTTGAGACAATGTCTCTCTATTATGTAGCTCTGGCTGTCCTGGAACTCGCTCTGTAGGCCAGGGTGCCTTGAACTCACAGAGATCCTCCTGCCTCTTATCTCCTGAGTACTGGTATTAAAGGTGTGTGCCATCACACCAGCATTTTTGATTTTCTTTAAAACAAACAAAACTCTTTGTTTTTGGAAAATAGAATTTATGGGTAGAGTGTTGACTATTATTTGTACATAAATAAAACCATTTCTAAAGTAAATACCTACTTTTTTTGCTGTTTTAGAAAATTGATTCTTTGTAGATTTTACATATCCTACTCATCTCCTGGCCCTTCATATCCACCCTCTGCCCTTGTAGCCTCCCTCCCAAAATAAAATCAAATGTAAAAGAAAATAAAAAACAAACAAAAACCCCCATTAATATACAAAAAAAGAAAGGAAGGAAGGAAGAGTCTCCGTGTGGAGGCTGTAGTGTGAGTCATAGTACACCCTTAGTCCATACATCTTTACTTGCCAGCGTTCACTGCAATGAGTCATTGGTCTGGTTCAAGGCCTCTGGCTTTTGCTACACCCTCAGTACTGGGTCCTCACTGGGACTCCTCTTGGACACCCTATTGTTGCCTCGTGTCATGGAGAACTGCAGCTTTGGCTCTGGAGATCTGGCTCCTTTGCATGCTCCAGCAGATCACAGATGAGGTGGACGTTGTGCTGGGCTGACTCATAACCCTGGTTCTGGGCCTGGGTTATGAGTGGTCAGCCCACCATTTCCCTCATTGATACCACTAGGGTGAGTTTTTAGCATTGACCAGGCTAGTTCACCCACTGCAGCAGGCAGCAAGAAGCAGGGCCAGTTCTGCTCAAGCCAAAGGGACCAGCTCACCTACACCCACACCACTAGGGCCAGCTCTATTGTTTTGTCCAGGAGAGGTGGAGAGTGAGCCCTGCAGTTGGTAAGGTGCAGGACCAGCTCTCGCCCTTGTCCCCTCTCCTCCCTCCCCCAAATTCTCCTGCCTGCTGCAGGTGGCAAGGGGCAGGGGTGGGAGGGGTGGGGGAGGACATCTTTTCCTTCTCCTATGCCACCACATGGCAGATGAGGGAGGGCAGGGTCACCTGTGCACACCACTCAGCTCTCGAGTGCTGCCCAGGCAAGGTGCATGGTCCACACACTCTTGTGCGTGCGTGCGTGCGTGCATGTGTGCGCGCACACGCGTGCGCTGCAGACGAGCAGTGCTGGCTTTCCCACTCTTGTGACCCCAGGGCCAACCCTCCCACCTGCCTCAGGAGGCAAGGGGCGAGATGGTGAGGGCACTTTTCCTCACCCATGCCACCACATGGTAGACTGGGGGCCAGGTGGAATCAGCTCTCCTCTCACACCCTCAGGGCCAGCTCACCTGCACCCCCTACTGGTCAGCTCTACTGTGTTCCTGGGTGAGTTACAGGACCTGCTCTCCTGTATTGCCTATTTAAAAGGTCCTAAGCAAACATACAGTGTGTCTGCTCCTTTGAAGAGACCTACACACATTATAAAGTAGGAGGTGTAGCTAATTAAAGGGAAATATGTGATTCTTACTTTTTGGTAGTTTTTGTGTTATGACTATGTTAATATTAATCTTGTATGTTGGGTTTTTAAACATTTTTATTATTCTTGTTGAATTTTATAGGACCACATTTAGAATAAATTATAAATTTTTAGCATTATAACCAGGTGTTGGTGGCACATGCCTTTAATCCCAGCACTCGGAGGCAGAGGCAGGCAGATCTCTCTGAGTTTGAGGCCAGCCTAGTCTTCAAAGAGTGTTCCAGGACAGTCTCCAAAAAACCTCCAGTCTTGTTGGTAAGAACCTTTACCCAATAAGCTGCCTCGCCAGCCCCCAATCTTTTATTATCATTAGAGGTTAAGAATCTGCTATGGCTTCATATATATCCTCCCCAAAAGTTCATGCCGTGTAGCAGTATTAGAAGGGACTTAGCTGGAGTTGTTTTCATGCAAGTGCCACCCTCACAAGTAGACTCATGCTGATTATAAGAGTGCTGACTGCTGGGCACTTGAGCTCTTGCCCTCCTTCAACCGTGGTAAGATGAAATGTGAAGGCCATGAGTGCATGCAGCTCTTTGTTCCCTGAATTCCCCAGCCTCTAGATCTGTAAGCAGTACATGCTTTTCTTTATAAATGGTACGGTCTCGGGCATCCTGTTACAGTACCATGAAGTAGATTAAGACAACAGCTCACAAATTTAGGCCAGAACAGTCGAGACTGAGCTACTATGGTGTTACTGAAGCTGATTGCACATTAGAACGTCCAGGCACAGGTTTCTATCACTGGAACCTGGGCCCTTCTCCCTAGAGCTGTGCAATAGATGTGTCTAACTTGAGCCCAGGAGCTGGTGTGTTTAAACCAGCCACCAGGTGATTCAGATGGGTTCTCGAGATGGAGAGCATTTGAAATTTCTAGCTTAGGCAATTAAGGGCACAGACAGCGCTTTCTTTGGAGGCTCTTTGTTAAGGACTCTTTCTCTGCATTATCAAGTGGCTCACTGGAATAATGGAACTGTCTTTGTGTGCTGCTTGGATAATGCTAACAGCAGTTAGGTCATTTTCCTGCTGATGGATTTCTTGGCTTTTAAGATGAATTGTGGCACAAAAGCAATCATTTCTATTTTATTGGCGCCTGATTAGTGTTCTGTCTAGGTGGATGTGACCGTGGATCTGAGCAGGAGGATTTTGTGGTCTGTTTGTTGGACTCTGCATATTTCATCTTTAATTCTGTTTAAGAAACGCCTGGCTAAGACACTCACTTGAATCCTAAGTAAGCATTGGCCACAGCCCTGCCTTCCTGTTGGTGGCCCTGTCATGGTATAGTTTATCACATACACAACAAATGTGCCCAACTCAAAGAGAGGTGAGGTGGATGCTGAGTGAAAACCATAGGCTGTGGTTCTCAACTTGTGGGTCATGACCCCTTTGTGGGGGTCTGTAGCATGATAAATAAAAGACCCAGAGACAGATATTGGGGTTCAAGCTTCAAGCTGAAGATCAGAGGAGCAAAGTAGCCAAGCCAGTAGCTCTTACCTGTACCTCAGGCTGAAATGGCAATCCTGTCTCCACAAATCCTCAGAGGCAAAAGGCTCTCAGACCCTGTCTCCTCCTCCTTATATTCCTTTGTCCGCCTAGCCATATCCTCCTGTCTCCATCTCCCTAGTGCTGGGATTAAAGGCGTGTGATCCCAGCTGTTGAGATCACCTTTGTGAAAGCTGTTTCTTTTAGGACTGGATCAATTTTGTGTAGTCAGGTGGCCTTGAACTAACAGAGATCTGTCTACCTCTTAATCCTGAGTCCTGGGATTAAAAGTGTGTGCCTGGATTCCATGGCTAACTAGTATGGCTGCTTTGCTATTTTGATCAACATGGCTTTAATTAATCTTAAACAGTACATCACCACAGGTCAAACGACACTTTTACAGGGGCCACACATCAGCTATCCTACATACCAGATATTTACATCACGATTTATAACTAGCAAAATTATAGTTATGAGGTAGCAATGAAAATAGTTTTATGGTTGGGGGGTCTCCACACATGAGGAGCTGTACTAAAAAGTTGCAGCATCAGGAAGGTTGAGGACTGCTGGGCATAGGGGTTTTACCTAGAAGAGGCTTGTGCCACCTGCAGCTGGCAGTAACAGAGAGCATGGGAGCAGCCTTTCAGGCCTGTTGCAACCCGAGGTCCCTTTTCCAAGTGACAGCAGGATTCAGGGCTCACTCATGACAGTCCCATATACAACTGTACCACACTAGTGAGTGTTTAAAGAGACCGGGGTTGGGCAGAACAGAGTACACGTTTTTGCATAATTATGGAGGGGCAAGTGGAAGTGGCCACAGGATTTCAGCTTTGCAGAGCTCACTGCAGAAGCACAGATGGTCAGGAGATGCTGATAAGAAATGCCTGGGACAAATCCTCTCTAAGCACCGTCTCAATCCCACATCTGCAGGACAAATCACTCAGCGTTAATCACTTTAGAGTGTCTCTTTCCATGTCTGTCTCCTACAGACAGCATCCTGGAGGCAGTCCTTGTCACGCTCCGTTTAACTTGAACCATTAGCTCCCTCAGAAAATCATTTCTCCTCAGACTTGTCTAGGTGGAAACTTCAGTATTTACTGGCTGCCTCTCTGCCGCTCTAACCTCCCCTAAGCTGTGCTGTGGCAGTGTTCGCTTGCCTCCTGGTATAGCTGAGCACCGGGCAAAACAGGCTCTCAGGCTGGCATTTGTCTTGAAATGCTGTGAATTAACCCAGCTGGCTGGTTTTGCTCTTTCAAAACTGAAAGTAAGGCTAAGCAAAGATCTTCAGGCAAAGGGCTTCCCCAGCGTGCATCTGTTAACTGCTCCAATGGGTGGGTTTCTAGTGGGAAGAAAGCACTTCCCAGACTGAACTGGAAAGGCCAGGTGTGCAGCCAGATAGAGGCAAGGCCAGGTGTGCAGCGGGGTATAGGTGGGGGCTCCAGGGCTCAGCACTGTTATCAGCTGTGTGTTCATTCAGCCTGTCAACTCTGTGTTGAGAAAGAGGTGAAGCGGGGCCCGATTTCACACTTTTCTAAATTGATATCTGTGGTGAAAGATTGTCTCCTTTAACCGCAGGAAGGCACAGGGGAGGTTGACTGGTGTCATGAACCACTCTTTGTGGTTGGGGAATGGAATATCTGTGTTAATCATGTTTTTAGAGGGAAGGGGAGGGGAAACCTTTGGGAACCAGGGCTGGAGAGAGTTCAGTAGTTAAAGAATACCGCTGCTCTTCCCGAGGACCTCAGTTCTGTTCCCAAACCTACACTGGGCGGTTCACAGCCCTCTGTTGGCCACCAACTCC